ACGGCTGAGCTACAAAGCAAATCAGCTTGTCTCGCAGGCTTTGGACTCAAAAGGCGCGACGTCTTGTACGGTGGAGGCCACCCACATCGGCAAAAAACGGAGGCGGGCGGGCACCCACGTCGTGCCAAGCAAGCCGCCGGTGCCCGCCCCCGCGGCGAAGACGGCGAAACCGGCGGGGAAGGCGGCGAAGCCCACCAAGCCGGCAACCTCCACTGCGGCTGCTCTCAAAAGCAAGGAGAAGCAGCTTGCAAACCGCAAATTGGGGGCAGAGCATACCGCAGCACCGCCACCGCCATTGCCGAGCACGGCGCTCCAACACCGCCAACCGCGACCGACGTGTTCGATGAAATGTCCGCACCAACCGTGTCATATAGGGCCTTGCTCGACGACGCGGAGGTGAAAATTGGGTCTCCTCCACTTGCTTCCTTTGACTTCCATGTTGAGGAGCCGGCGGGTGAGGAGGAGGAGGCGGGTGAGGAGGAGGAAGAAGATGAAGATGTCACCGAGATCGGAGAGGAAGTGTTTGAAGCGGCAGGTGGTGCTCGAAGGCCAATTCGCATGGCGAACTACACGGAGGTTGAAGATGTCCTCTTGGTCAAGGCTTGGTCGCATGTGGGGTTGGATGCGGTCACCGGCACCGATCAAACCAGGAAACGTTATTGGCAACACATTGAGGACAGGTATTGCAAGCTTAAACCCAAGACTGCCACATTGAGAGCTCGTTCTTACAGATCGCTTCAAGGCCGGTGGGATTTGATGAAACCCGCTTGTGCTCATTGGAGTGCGGCTATGGATCAAGTGAGGGATCAACCCCCAAGTGGCTGCGTTGAGAGTGATTATGTGAGTACAAATATCATGCTTATTACTTGTTGGTTCATGCTTTATTTTCTTGTTGGTTATGCTTGGTTGTGATTTTGATATGCTTCCAATGATGATATGTTTTAGGAGAAATATGCCGACTTGAGGTACGAGGACATGGCCGGTTCCAAGGGAAAATCCTTCCCATTCAAGCATTGTTGGGCATTGCTCCAACATCTTGACAAATGGAAACCGAGGGATCAAGAGAGTGCACCAAAGAAATCGGATATGCTCAAAATGGATGATAGTGATGAAGAAGGAAGAAACCATGACAAGCCCGACGGAACCAAGAAGGGAAAAGAAAGGATGAAGATGGAAGCGGAACCATCAAGCTTGAGGGAAAAGATTGATCAAATGATCAAGTCAAAGGAGACATTGACAATGAAGGCATTGGAGACAAAGCTTATTATCATCGAGAGAAAGAAAGAGATGAAACTTGCACAATTGGAAGCAAGGCGAGAAGATGCCAAGTGAAAGGCCGACATGGAGGAGAGGATGATCAAGCTCAAGGAAGCAAAAGCATGGAAGGAGCTCATGGCCGAGGAGAAGGAGCACATGATGATGTCTAGAAAGGACATGGATGAAGAGCAATTGGCGTGGTGGAAGGAGTACAAGGAGAACATCACGGACAGGAAGAGGCTATTGCGTGGTGCTGGTGGTGGTGCGTCGTCTACTCTCCGAGATGAGTCTCCGATGAGTGGTGGAGGCGATGGAGGTGTGGACAACTTCACCGGTGCTTGAAGTTATTCGTACGTTTTATGTTTTGCAAATGATGTCTCCGATGACTATGTGATGATGATCATTTGCACGTATGTTTTGCTATGATGTCCATGGGATTTACTATGTGATGATGATGATTTGTAAGTTTGTTTCATGTATGTGATCATGATCATTTGCAAATTTGAGAGTGATTTATGTTGCTGTCCTGTTTTGAAGGTTTGAAGGCCGGGGCGCAGATCAGTGCCCTCAAACCAACCCTCAAAACAGAACCAGGGATTTTTGGCCTTCAAAATGACATTTTCTCAGCCCTCAAACTGGTTTTGAAGGTTGAGTTTTTGAGGGCTCTGTTAGACATGCTCTAATACGAGAACCCGATAAAATTAGTTACGACAATCCAAGAATATTAATAATCTAGGTTTACCATATGCCAATAATATGATGCACGAGCTATTTTCAAGCATAATTGGTGTCGCAATTTCAAACCCATCAAATATCCCATCTCAAACAAATTCCATAAAGTAAGAAAGCTATATGTGAAGAAATGGCTCCGGCAACCAATCTGGTCACATTTGAGTGCCTAGGAGTAATCAAGATTTTGCAGTGCAAAAGGAGGTGTTTGATTATCTCATGGTGAGTA